AGCGCCACCTCCGATACTAATGAAATCATAGCGTCAACTAATTATCTACTGCGATATTCATAGCCAGATAGTTGTAGCCAATTTTCTAAAACGCTATCCTATCGCCTTTATAGAAAGCGGTTAAAAATACTACTTAAAGCTGCAAACCGATGGAGTGTGAAAGGTCGATGTTCATGGGGTAAAGAACACAATTGAACATGATACACAAGAGATTTAGATTTATTCAGTACTGAATTATCTCACGTATATGAAGGTATAGAGGCCTACAGGTATTCTATTTTTAGTCTCAGCTAAATTAGCTCTATATTGCACCGTGTAATATATTAAAGCCGTATAAATGCAATAAGTTCATTTGGTTTCTACCAATACCAAATATTTTGTATAACGAAATGTATACGACACTACCACAGAGTACTAACATGCCATGAGATTACAGACGTAAAAACCAAGCTAAAGACCTTAGCCCCCGAACAACCGGTTGCTGTGGATAGTGCATCTAGTAGACGCCCAAGTTATCATGGTCTTGTGTCAAAGTTTTTTTTTTTTTTTATAGTGACTAAATAAAGAAGAAAGTGGCCTACTAACGGTAACAATGCGCCCGCTCTACACGCAGTACATGTTTGTCATGGAAGCTCGGCGGGGAATCCTCGGCAGCTTGGCCTAGGGTGTCTGTGAGATGCCCTCTGACTGGAGTAGTTTGCCTGGGATGAACACTAGCTGGCAAAGAGGTTAGCTGGTTTTGGGTTGCCATTAAGAGAAACACTGTCCCCAGTGTTCCCAGTGTTGCCGCCTTCGAAGTTGGCAATCGGATCGGTAACACCAACGCTAGCGGGCCAATTGACGTCCCCAGAAAAGAGTCGATCCATCAGTCCCCAAGATAGTCCCAGAGGGCCATCGTCTAGTCTGCGTGATGTTCAGCATCCAGCCCCGTACAAATGCTGTTGGCAGCAAGATCCAAATAGAAGGGCATACAACACCATCGGCATAGCAAGCTTCAGTAGGCAAACAGTGGTGGAGCTCGTCAACACAGGGGGGAGGGGAGTACTAGTATATGCAACGGTTGGCACGTTTTTTACAAAGGAGCAAACCTAACTAAGGGTGAGAATATAGGGGTTCCATTAAGCTTTACGTGCACACGGGCTTAACACCAGCATACCCTCACGAATTGACGCTGAAAAGGAATTTCTGCGAAGGCCTGAAAAGTCATCCTTGTCTGTCGACGAATGCCGTTTTAGTTGAGTTAACCGGCTCCATATCAAGGCTGACAACAACGAATAGCAAAGATAGCGCGCTTATAGCATTGTGCTGTGATTAGGTTAGAGCAGGCAGAATCTAGCAGAGAAAGACTATGAGCTGTAAATAGACAAGTGTCCTTGTCGTCATACGAACGTCATGCAACATCGATTATCCTATCAGATTATATAACCAGTAGGACCCAGACATTTTTTTTGGAAAAAACCATACATTTTCTTAGTGTGCAAGCCAATTTCTAAAGAAAAATTTCATTCTTAAAGCAATTACAGTTTCTAAACAACAATATTTCCACAACCTCGAAGTTACGTTTTACCGAACTATTGGTCCACTTTTGATTAACGGAACTGGTTTCTCCTTTTTCAGATTACTATTATTACTTAATCTAACCTTCATGAAAACATAACTTTCTTGTACGATATATTTACCTCGTGCCGTCTTTTTTCGCCGACACGGAAAAATAGTGACGTCGGCACTATCAGCGTATTCAATAACAACAGTCATCACATCGATGACAGCAGTAAAAGCAACAAATATCGGGGAAGTTGCACTGGCCGATGTTGCTGTTGTTTACTCCAGCGTCCGCAGTCAATTTTGTCCTTTCTGTATTCCTTTCAATTTCTCTGCTCCTTTGTCCTAGACTAACGAACGCCTCCGAATTGTGTATTATGCAATTCCTTCCACTAACTACATGGTGCATGACATACAGTGGACGTGGCCTATCTACTGAGGGCTCGAGTCGGTCATAGCCTTAGTGTAGGCATGGGCTTACTTACGGTACATTCTCTTCATAGTGGCATATCACAGAGGTACGCATGGATAGTGGAAACTAGGTAAACTAAACGAACAGACTCATAGGTTGAACACGGACGAGTTTTTTTACTGTGTTCTGTTATGCGAAACGCTCCTGTGGAACGAGGTTTCGAGCCCAAGATGCTACTGTATAATACATGCACGCAGCGTCATTTCTGTAATGACATAAGGTGCCGCAAATGATCGTGGGCGAGCATCTGGTGGATGCCGTATCTAAAAACTGTTTGAGAAGGGCAGCCCACGTTAAAAGTAGAGGGTATGGCTCAGCAAATTAAGCCGTAGCTGCGGCTCGCCTGAGTCAATCCAACATTGAGTTTGACTGAAGAACGGACAAAATTGTAAATGTTTACTAGTACATAATACTTAGAAAGGAAATAAATCAACCGCATTTGCAAAGCGAATCTGCTTCGGCATTATGATAAATATTTGGTTAACAATTAATTTTTTAGTGTGTTCTTTTGAGTATGTTGCTTAATGACAAACGTTTTTCTTTTGGCATGATATCTGTCCATGGCCTGCGTAGGTATAGTGACCCTATCCCAGTAAAGTTTTAAATATTGAATTCATTCAGCTGGTATGGCTTTTTACTTTCTCCGGTTTCATCAAAATAAATAGACCAGACATTTCCCGTAAAAAAGACGGACAAATCTGCTGTCTCTATGGTTGACGGAGTAGGTCACGCATGGCCATGTAGTCTAGTCTACTATCTTAGAGAAAAAATATACGCTTTTTATTGATAGCGAAAGTCACTCAGTTAGAATGATTTTGTATGACTCATTTTTTTGTAATAGTGAGGAATATAAATGAACCGAAATGCTGGTCTTGTATGCTCAAAAATGAGAGTTTCCTTTACCCCGAGTCTGATGAATATTTTGACGGAATGCGTGGCACCTTTAAAAACTTTATAGTGGTTATAGGCAGTGCGTGTGGCTGCTGAAATGGACGTTGCTGCTTATGCTCTTGCGCTCGTTACACGCTGTTGGTACTTTTGACATGTTTCCACTGAGGAACATAAACAGGTTTCCCTGTGCAGCTCGTCCACGAATGACTAATCCGAAAATTTCGAGTAGCTTCATAGTACTTTCGCCTAATGCTGGTTCGTCAGGTCCTAATAGAAACAGCGGGAAAAGTGGGTCATCGACGTAAAAATTTTACGTATTTTTACAGCAATATTACGATGTTTTTAGTCTACTATTACCACTAATAAGGTTGACAGATGATAACTCCCTCTAACGTATGCCTAGATTACCTACGCATGCAGTAGTTTTAGGTCGTCATCTATGAGAATAGATTTTTAGGGCAAAGAGGATGAAGTCGTTGTCCGCGTCACCGTCACGATCTCGCTACTTATGCAGAAGGACCTCATTGTGATATATAGCCTGTGAGCATTTTTTTGCTAGTGCTTATCCGAGTTTGAGCTTATTGTTAATAATAGGACATGGAAAGCTACGTCAACAAAGGACACTTTACGGAAACACCAGATGAGCGAACGTGTTTACATATTAATATAGGTACCAACGCCGATCGATACACAAACTGCACCACGCGTGGATGATCTAACTACTGAATATTCAGTCTAAAATGTTTCATTGACAGGTTCACAGTGATTGCCCTTATTCCTCATGTACGCTTTGGCGGTCTAGATTCGCATGGTACTTTACTAAATGTGATGTTCAGACGTGGTAAATCAAATGAAGAAAGCTATATACGGACAGCTAGATACATTGCGCGGATGTATAACGGTTTCGATGGCTCTCTATTAAAACGAAGTACCATAGATTGCAAGGGTAGTAGTACATGTCGGCACACTGTGAAACATGTATCAATTTTTTTTTAATAAACATTGCGTATTTATCCTGTGCAGACAAGTCATGCGTTGATAAAGGCACGTCGATCGTGTTACGGGCCAGATGTAACTTCGTGTTCAACATTTAAACGAATTAGAATTTCTGAAGTATTATATAGAACGCGGACTAGTGTAGTCCATTGTGTAGTAGAAAGCGATACCTGTCGTATAGTCACAGAAAAGGGTCTCAGTTAGTTTTATTCATACGCAATGAATTGAGCGAATTCAGTACTTCAATTAATGTTCAAATTCGCTATATGATTGATCATATTAATACTGATTCGTGTGGAGTCTGCAAGAAATTGGAAGCTCCGCTGGTCGTTAGGCCTTCGAGAATATGCACGGTCTTACGCTCATGTATCACAATAAAAGTGCGGTATCGTACATTGTACTCGTATGCGCATTAACTTTGAATACCACGGCAGTGCAGGCAGGTCCAGTGATGACTTCCACGACTGACGTCGGTGCTTCCATTCACACTCTCAACCCGTCTTCTATGCCCTTCAGCAGCAATTGCTTATCAAGAAGCAGTTCAACTGTTAAAGGAAAGAGGTAGATGAGGGCCGAAGTAGCAATAAAATTGTCAAAGGAGCAGGCTCTATTTAGACGCGTTGCGCGGTACCGATCAGGTGACAAAATGCCAGCCCGGCGGAGGCGTTTCAAACGAAAACAACAATAGACATGAACGTTTTCTTAACTCCATCGCCTTTTGTAGGCAGAAGCTAAGTTTGTGCTAATAAAAGTACCAACGTGTATTTTCTAATACCTTCACTTAGTCCTCCTGTAATATAGTATTTTCCCCCAAGAATGGATATTTATAGAGAGTTGCGAGTATTTCATATGACCCTTAAGGCATATGCTATCCTTTTGTGTCTAATCATTTTCTGAACATTTTACTTTGTCTAATGAGAGTGCAGCGCACATATTGCAGAGCTAAAAGGACCAATTATTAAAACTTTCCTTGGTTAACATATAAATTACGGTAACATATAAAATGGTAACATATAAAAAGGAATACATTTTGCCTTTGAGTCTGCCTAATCTTCAGTGACTTATCTTAAACACCGCTTTAATGCTTTTCCTCCTACTTTATACGTATTGCTTCGACTACTGGATACTTATGAAAACTCTCGACTTTCACGTCCTTTTATCGATGCTCAACGGAAGTCCTAATTTATGTTTGCACATCACAACTCTGGTATTACCGCTATTTGCCATTAGTCCATCGTCTACCTCCACTATTCTCCATCGTCGTACCTCTTGTTGTTAGCAGCAGCTCTTCGACTACCCGCAAATGCTGCTGAATTTCCGTTTCGTTTAGTGGCTACGATCTGCGGTCAGGGCTCAGTTTCAGTGGACCTTTTCGGCCGTTCACAGACTCGCCGATTCGCGAACAGGGGCATTCCAAATTACTTCCTCGCTTCAATCCTGTCGCTGCTGGCTACTTGTTGGCGGTTGACGCTGCCTTGTCGACGTTCCCCCTTCCACAAAGGGGGGTTGATATCGGCGAGGAAGCACCATTACAAGTGCATTCTATCGGATACGACCTGGTTAACAGCGTGAGGACCCAACGAGTCAGTGAAGAGCGAATGGTGGATTTGCAACAGTAATGAATAGCCGTGGTGGTTAGGCTGGTCACCAAGGATCGCCCGGAAGTGCGTGTTACCCCTGCCTTCATCTGCATCTTGTGTTAGTCACGAACCACTGAGGTAGTTAGGTTCACCTAGGTCGTCTCCTTTGTCCCATCGCTAGTTCTACTGCTTACCTCACCTAATTGTAGGGAAGAACAGCCAATCCTTCAGGCCAGGCAAACGTAAGCGTTGCATGGACTATCTCGGTCTAGAGTGCCATTCCTGCGTTGCTTTTGCTTTTTACTCTTCGGTGGTCATTGTCGTCCCGAGCTTCCACTGTAACAAGAGCGTCGATGATGAATCAAAATGATATTGATGTAGATAATGGTTAAGGAACTTAATGTAGGTATGTAACTACATTTCGGTTTATTTGTAGTCTGAAATGTAGTTAATTCGTTATATTTGTGAATTAAATAGAACGACACAAGTAACCTCGAAAAAGAAATTCTGCAGTCTTGAAAGGACGCGTGCTGTATATTAGGTACAAAATGGCAATGAAACACATCATAAAGGCGATCTGTCACAATATTTGCCATATGGGCAGCCATTGAAGCCCGGTTCTACAACAACTGATTAATGTCAAAATAAAGCACATAAGTCTAAACGTCTAAAATTTGTTCGTACAAAATTTATAGGGCAAGTGGTTGAGGTCCCTTCCGCCAATGCGTACATATATCATGCCTTCCACAGAGCATGTCACAAAGTCAACAGGCTTCTGATGTTAAGTAAGGACAACCACCGAGAAACATTTATTTGGTTCTCTCCATATTCTGTTTAATATTCTCTACTCGTTGTTGTGACGCTGATTTATTCTGTTATTAGATATGACATTTGTTACGATGCTTGTTGTTACATTAAACTATGCAACACTCACATGTACACATGTGATTTTCCTTCTTGGTTGATGCGAACTTTATAATGCATTTTATGTATACATCTTTAACTTTATCTACGCGCTCTACAATATTTAAAATCACCATGTCGTATTGCTTTATATCATATCGGCTGCGATAATGTACCTTGTACCAATTATTATCCTCTACACGGCGCTCCATGGCACTGCAGTAATCCGCACATCTCTTGAACCCAACAAGCAGACTTAGCAGTGCTGGGCCAATCTTTGGGAGTTAATAGCAGTACTACAACGCCATTCCCTTCTACTTCAAATAACTTAGGGGAAAGAACGTCATGCTTATGCGATGCAAATTCAGCTTCGGCATATATATATATACGCGTTTTACTTCATATTCCAAATGATTCTACAGCGTTCACTAGAAATCGCGTACTTTTTGTTACAGCGATCAGAATGACAAGCAGAGAAACAAAACACTGACGGTTTCCTTACGTTCCTTTTTGTTCACCTCGCCAGCTTCTTACAAACTGCGGTCTCGCAGCCCCAGCTAATGGCGGTGGATGCACCTGTTAGGCTTTGGCCCTTTTTTTTTTCGTCCCTGTGCACACGCAATTCGGTGACCGGCCTCATCCAGACGTCACGACATCGTTCGTTTCCTGGTGGGCTTCGTTATGGTGCGCGCTTGCTGGCTACAGAAACCTGAGTGTCGGCCGGTCGCTATAGATGCCCTAGGTTGTCTCCTTAGTCGGCATACTGATCTTGTTCTCCTTGCCCCTGTTACTGGGGCGGAACGGTGCCGGAGGCGTCGTCGTCATCTATCGGCGGACTGAATACAAGAAAAGAGTCAGCGAAAGAACGAGAGAGACAATAAAAGAGAAGCAGGTTGTGTGGAAATACCTTACCGGGAAAAAGTTCGCTGCCACGAGTAGGTAGGGTCTATGGAATCAGACGTTACCGGAAAAAAACGTCTTGCTGGACAGTCATTTGCTCACTCATTCGAAGACGGCGTCGAAGGGGTTATTTTAGTGCTTAGAAATTACGGTGAAGTCGGAGTTGCGAACACAGATGCAAAAGCAACTTGTAGTTGTATTTCTAGCTGGCACTGGTGTTGTTCCTGCAGCTGCTTCCTGTAGTTGTCACTAGAGACGTCCGCATTGAAGTGCTCCACTGTTGTTCTCTTTGTTCAAGACCTGATGGGTGTTTGGTTTTCGCCCTTGCAGTTGCAGTGTCTCTGCATGTAGCGGTCGCGATGGTGATGGAAATGTGTTTCTGTCTGTATGACGATCTGGACCAACACGGTGGGCAAGAGCTGAAAGCGTGACAGGAAACGCTCGGTAGCCAACCGTGAAATGTTGAGGGAAGTGCCACCATAGAAGAATAGAAAACGGGAAAAAGTATTGTGAAAATGTAGGAGGCCCTTCGAGAAGCTCAGCAAGTGCTGCCACACGGAGTAACGGAACGTGAACAGAAATAAAAGGGCCTGAGACGGCTCAAGATCGTGATTCGTGTTAAGAAACATTGCTAAAAATGTGTGTTTACGGCTAGCCAATTCTTGATCCGAATAAAGTCCGATCTAACTAACTTAGTTGCCTATTTCAAACTATAACCGCGCTCGATAGATTTTCTTGACCGATAGCTAACGCTGCCTGCGGCATTACCGCACAGATGTGGCTAGTTTTGACAAAGGCGAACAGAAGGCTTTCTGTATTGCTTTGGTATGTTCCACATATGCAAATCTACCTACTAGTTATGTATGCGTTCTGTAGATCACCCATTGAGACGTCACGCAGTCAGAATGCAATCAGCTGCCGACCCAGTTGGTGTTACTGCATTGGAGATACTAAGCGACCTTTTTCTGCACCCGACAACAACTCCTTGCCCACTCAAAAGCTGGTTTCTGCCTATGTTTTTTTTTAATACGTGTCAGTAATTCACAGGAATGAAGGTCAAGTGGCAGAACTTTAAAATTTTTATTAATGAGACATGTAGCTGGCATACGCTTAGAGGAAACAGGAGTTCTTTGCACGAGGCATTATATTCGAAGATACAAACTCGATCACGCTGTTGGTTTTAAAAAGGCAGAAAACAACATAATGTGTCCCTTTCACTGCTTGGTTTTGCCGGCAGTATTATGTATCTCGAATGATTATTTCGAAAAACCGATACAGAACGTACCATAGTTGGGAAAATAGAGATTTAAATCATGCTCAAGTCGCAGAACTTTGCATATGCCTTTATCTTCAAAATTGCGCCGAACAGTTTAATTGAATGTCATCTTGGAGTTTGATTGTTATGCCTGTAGATAGAATGAGCAAACATTCATAGATATGAATAGTTAAAGGTTAAAATGGAATTAAGAAAAAACTTGCTCTTGAGAAGTTAGTATGATTTTAAATCACTACTACTTTGTTTACCCTAAAAGACGTCTAAATGTTCAAACTTACGTCTATTATTGCCTGTAAGCCTAAGCTCGGGGGGTACCTGATAGATCCTTCTCAGCTTTTCGCAACCTTGCGAAATATAAACAAAGCAAATTTTACTTAACACCATGGTGATTTAAAGACCGTCTTGTCACAAACGTTTTGTTTTTGTGATAAGAAAATGATTTTAGAATCTGCATGATCAATCCAAATCACCTGCTGCCATTTGCCAACTAATTATTACGTTGAATCGTTATGACTAACCACGAAAAACGCTGAAGTTTTTTAAGATGCAGATTGTTGCCGGTAATTGGCTTGCAAGACAGAACGGGATATGAACCGACGATGAGCTAGTGAGCCTTTATGACAATTACCTTTAGACAGGTGAAATAAAATTGGTCCTTTAACAAATTCAATCTATGCGACGAGGGATATTAGCAATTATCACCTACACGAAAAGAAAAAAAAACACTCGAGTCTAGTTAGCTATACCACGTAGATAATGAGAAACGCTACGCTTAAGAGGTCCTGAAAAACTTGTATCTGGCAAACGAGCTAATGCTAGCAGAATTTGATGACAAATAAAAGCGCCAACATACTTTTATGTGCTTTTTTCTGAAACTTCCCGCGACTATTACGTTAAAGAAATGGCCCCAATCTTATACAATTTACTTTTAATAGTTAAGGATGAGATTGACAGACTCCTCAACGTAGGTGTTTTTAGGTACGTTGCCTATTCATGCTTGGCGGCTCCGCCGGTCGTGATGATAAATTAATGAGGAAATGCATGGCTGTGTGACGATGTCTCCACTGGATTTAATGGCGCAGTTCAAGAATATCACTATCATTTACTTATGCAACAACGTACTCTTTCCAAACTGAATGCGACTGTCATTTTATCGAAATCTATCTGGCAGAAACCTACTTTTAAATTGAGACCGGTGAAACTTCGGAAGACTTCCTCTTCACACGCTCAAAAGTCTTGCAAAGGCAATAAGTTCCGTCTGGCGCAAACGTCGTGCTAGAGATCTTCCGACAGATCATAGATTGGATCGTCGGGGGGTCTGGCAGGTATAGCAGCAAATCTCAATGATTTGGTAGTTTGTAGCTCTGAAATTAAAGAGGACAATGAACGCAAACGGGAACTCTCTGAAAGGGCTGCCGAGTACAGCGTTTGAGGAAAACGCACCAAGTGCTTGTTTCTACAAAAGTAGATTTATTTTTTCGAATTTATAATACAGAAACTAGCAGGAAAAATCTCTTTTCATTCATTATAACCCATGACTTCGAACCACTATTGCAGCAGATGTGAGTATGCGCGGCATAGGTTTCGTGATCCCGCAGAGGTCCCTGGACGGCTCGTAACCAGCAATAGCATACGACACTCGCAAATAAACGGAAATACTAGTTTGGATGTCAACGTTTTTTTTACTCATAATAAGAAACTTGCTCTACAGACAGAGCAGCAAAACGTCCATTCGTCAATGCATAGGTACCGCAACATTTAAAAATGGGGCTTTCAGATCTATCGAACCTGGAGCTTCTCAGTGCTTGAATGACCTAACGCGCTCACAGTTACCTCGGGCTAAGACGGGTATTACAGATAACAGAACAAGAGTCGAAGATCTATATTAAAGGCGGAAGCAACAAACAAGTATCCTTAAACTGGAACGTTTGTCAATTCCATTTGGAACGTCTATAGTTGTGAATCCTCTCTTTCCAGTTGCGAAATATGTTTAGTTCCGGACGACCGCTTCTGGGAGCCCATGCCTACTATAAAAATGGGTTCTTAACTAACTACATAGAAAACGCTTATGATGTGCTCAAGGAAAACGCCTGGTAACCTCGTTCGTCCATCGGCCAAAAAATAAACGATAAGCTAGAATCCGAGCTGGAGGTTTGTTTGATGGCTGGTTCCCCGTCAGCAGTCACATCACAATAGCTGATTATTCGGAAAAGGTTCCTTTGTGTTCCATGCTATTGACAAACATGACAATTAATCACAGGCTGCGTAAACTATTATGACCCGGGCTGCCTGATGGTAACATGCTCCTAATTTTCGCGTACATATCGCCTGGTGACCAGGGTTACACCCTTATAAGGCGGAGTGTATTGACACAGCAGTCAGTGGTCTCAAGTATGTACCTTTCCAATCCGGTAACCCAAAGTGTTTAGTGTACGACGATGGTAATCAGTTTATTGCTCATCGATTTAGGTAATAACGTAGGAACAAGGGTACGACACGTATGTTTTTGTTTTTATTGCACAATTCGCAACAGTCATAACGATCTGGCAAGGAAAGCTTCGTGCACTTAAAAATTTGTTCACAGAGATGTGGACCGAATATCCAATTCGCGAAATTATACAACAAACTCAAACAAATCAGTGTGCACTGCTGTTCACAAAGGTAGTTTTATCGCTGCAGAGAGATTTGGTCTGGTATTGCTTATAATACGGTCGATAGAAAAGTCGTACATGGATTTTGATCGACGTCACGCGTAATTTGCTCAATATTAGGCTCGAGTCGATGGTCCATGTTAGGGACTTTTGTGGTACGAAGCGGCTTATCTCCTTAACCATTTCGAAGCCTGGGCCGTACGCCTATTTAGATGAAAAGTTCATGTAACCTTCGGTACAAATGCAAGGAAGTGGACCGAATAATTACCCACTGCAGCTGTCGAACTCACTTCGTTTTAATCCTAAACTGAGATGAACACGAGCCTGGTATTGTGCACAGGCCTTGGATGGATCGGGCGTTCAAAACCCGAATATCGTCGTCAAAGGTTACCATCGCGAACTTTCTCAGTAGAAATTCTCATGCGCAGTATACAAATCTGCTGCTGTGAGAAAAGTCGAAAAAAACGCAAGAGATGAAAGACCAATCTAAGCTCACTAAAAGTGCAGTCGCAAATGATATAAGGGGTATCAACTTGCAGACGGAAGTGATAGAAAAGGCCACCAGTGTATCAACACTGATGGAGAGGCATCTGTAGGGCTTATGTATTACAGCCCCATAGTAACGCTGAAATCGTGGTTTTTGCCATGGTTCAGTATCACTGTGTGTCTGTCTGCCTACTAGGCGTATTAACCTTAAAATAGATGCTTTCGTTTCGTGTGTTAAAAGTGAATAGATTTAACGCAATGCTAAAGTATCCAAACTCCCATTTTTTTTCATACAGCTATAACGCACTCGTTAGATTAAAGACCCTTCATCGAACGCGCATAAATAAGCGGTTACCAACAGGAATTTGGTTTGACACAATGACGCCGTAAAGTAACGTTTATTCTTTGAATTTATTGGGTACGTAAATCTTCATTGCGCCGTTTAAAATTTTCTATCATATCCTGTTTTCGATAGATATAATTAGAATTTTAAGTTAGGGATGTCTAGAGCTCCAAGGGAAGAATTCTGTATATATTCTATCCTTATATGAATGACAATCTTCACCAAAAGTATTGAGCAATGTTGCACAAACACTAAAGAAAAGTCAAACTTTAGACACCAAAAGCCTTTCGTTTGGTTGTAACATGCATTACACAGATTTTTACCAGCCTGATATTCCTGACAAGAAATTATTTACAAACTAATATGAGGAATAATTGACTTTTTAGGTTTTAAGAATACACGTAAACATAACTACTTTTTCTCACGTGATACGTGTTTATGTAGACTAAACATTTTTCAAATGTTTATTAGCAAGGTTTCTATCAAGACCGACCTACTGATTTATTCCAAAGCGTTTTTCACTGCCTCCTTTATACGGGATGACGTTTATTATTACTTATTGTACATATGTACGTACAGTTATATCCGTTATGGAATGCACCCGAGCTGGGAAAGCCACCAATGTCAGGGGGCATCATTCGTCAGATATTTTCGAAGAAGAGGCAAATTGCTTTCGATATGTTGATAGATCTTAGTTAGAAGGCTATATTCGTTCCTTGTTTCATCTTAACTGTGCTTGCTGGTCGTTTTCCACTTGCGTGACAGGATTAGTTAAATGTATAGGCCGTAGAATGATTCACCTTACGACAGGCTGTCGTCGAGGACCACCTCCGGAAGGCAGACCCGTAATATAATTGAACTCGTCATCGCCTATAAACACACATATAGGAAAGTTTAATGGAACAGGGACATACCATCCGCTGGAAGATATCTTGCTCTATAAACTAAGGGAACTCAATGGTGTGGCGCATAAGCACTTTTGCAAGTTGACAAGGTCTATAGGGAAAAGCTGGGGAAGAATCGATGATAACATTACTGACCCATTCTTACTTTTGTTACTTTAAGTTGTTTTTCATAAAATATTCGTTGAGCAAGTTCATCTTACAATCGAATGACAAACGTTTTTGTCGTTTATGGCCATTTATCACGCTGTAAGGAACGATTTATCCTTCGCACGGATGAGACAAGCTTGGATGATCTATATGTAGTTACAGAAGTCTAATAACTTACTTGTCGTCAGCGTTCAACAAAGCGTCCACGTGCTATTCTACTAGTTTCGTACAACTGCAACGTCTATGAATTTCCTACAAACACACATAGGTCAGGCTTGAGTCCCTAAAATTACGATTACGATTATTCATCAGACGATACGAGGGCCGAAAAACGTGCGTCGTTTTCGATAACCCAAAGGAGATCTCATCGATGGACCACAGCTACGGGGTGTCGGTCAGTTTAAAAGGCGTCTCGTCCAAGTTCAGTGGCCCATGATCTCACCCTTCCCCGTTTAGTGTTATGACGTTGATGCAATTGGGCGCAATATAATAATACGCGCGTCGATGAGTTTAATCAGCAGGGTTTTCGTAGTATCTCTTGCATACGCCGCAAAAATATGCCTCGTGGGAGTGTTTCCTGCAAGGTGTCCTCTTGCCCCACTACTGCTGCTTCTAGGAGTCTGCCACAAGCAGATTGGGAATTGTGCACGGCTCGACCCGGTTTCTCCGAAGGAAATTTAATGAATCTATTCACTGAGCGAAAGATGATGACACGGGTAACGCTAGGGACAGAAATTAAACGACGACTAAGAAGAAGGTGGAGAGCAAGCTAGGGGAAAAGAGGGCGTAATCGATCATTGAAAAAAGCTAAACAGATTCTATTGCTTTTCGGTCAGTAAAGGAATGACAGGCCATTGTCCTTATTATAATATACTATCAACGTAAAATACTGCTCCCTTGTAAACGTATTGTCGGTAAACTCGAAAGTTCAACGCGACGCAAAGAAAAAATAAATATGGAGTGATGTGAAGATCTTACGGATGTTACTGTTAATAAAGAGATTTACAGTTGCAAACAACGCAGCCTTCTGTTTATTATCATCGGTTACCAGGAAACAGTCGCAATTTTATCAAATGGCCGATTATGACAGTCCAATTATTGGATATTTCTGCGTCAGTAGTAGTTCCGATTGAAAATGTTACGGTTTATGTATGTATGTAGTAAACCAGTTTTCGTGGCCTGATTTAACGTAGGTGGTAACCGAGAGCTCGGGTGCTGGGTTTTTGTGACGTCCCGTATGCGCTGCTAGCTTTTTTTGATATGATCGATTTGAAAATCCTTCGTTGCGAAAACATTTTCAGGTGGCGGCCGAATCATGAAAACACCAGGTTGTCCTGATGCGTGCCTTTTTAATCTTTTAAGTTAAAATGAGTAAGACAAAACATGATAGTGTAAACGGCCGGCTGAACAAATATGGGTGTTCATGGACGCTTCAAGAATCTTCGATAAGTCTGTTATTGGATAACCCTGAAGAAAGGAAGACTACTCTCTAAGCTAGTACATTTGAAACTTTTTAAGACAATCTTTCTACTAGACGCGCATCGCGTAAATAATCACCGCTATAAAACAAATCAATAAAGAAAGCAGACCGTCGACAACATAAAGGGTATCATCCAAACGAAAAAATGCCACAGCGAATTTGGTGCTGCATAACCCTGGTACGAAACAAGCATTGTTTCGTACCAGGGTTGTAAGCGTGCCTCTTACCGAAAACAACGCTTCTTAATAGCAATCTCTGTTCGATTTATGAAGTACTGCTCTTCTGAATAATCTCATTGGACGTTCTAATAGGTTTTGCTCGTCAGGTTCCCGCAGCACCCTCTACATTCTCCAAAAAGTATTGACAGTTGTTTCAGGCCAACCAAAATTTGACAGTAGTAAGTGTGTTTTTGCCATTTTCACGCTTTAAACGCAAGTGAAACACACGAACATTTCCTATAGTTGTACTTACATTTTTAATATATTTGTAGATCTGTATATAAACATTTACTATATTTGTAAATCATGATAGAAGCACAAATTCTGCCGACGTCTATAAAAAAAAAATGTGTCGTTCATCGTCGATCGATTTTGATCTAGAAATTTCGTTGTAAAAAATGCTTTCCGTAGATTAGTTGATACAAGGACTGTTAAAGGTGACTGATGGGCAGCTATGATATTACTAAGCGTTCGCCACCAAACGATTTGAAAAAAGCTGGCCACAAAAACGGAAAGCAATTAATCAACGGGTCACGGAACGAAGATGGACGGCAATAATATGCAACTAATAATGAAAAAAATATTCTTCCCAATAGGTAGCAAAGCTCAAACTGACGCCAAAGGAGGCCATGCTATATGTTTAGCGAGACTGGGAAAGGATCATGCAATATGGGTTGTTGGGGCCTCGCAAAACGATTGATTCAGGCTTCTATTGCCAACTATTAATTAGAATTTAGAAATCACTGAAGAAAATCAACTTGATTTAGTGAACGGAAAAGGCATATTTCATCATTATCCATCTGGCAAACGTTGAGAGAACCTGTTTGGGGAAATTTTAAGGCATTCACTCTATGGCTGGTATTTAACAGCACCAGATTTTCATCGGTTTAGGTCACTGCAGAACACCATTAATCGTGTTAACTTAATTTGAATGAAGAGAGGCAAAAATCACTCGTCACAAATTTTCCTCCGTAAACCATGGAAATTTTACAGTGACAGGATTAGTAAAAAAAAAAAATAGAGGAAGCTTGTCGATAGGAACAGCGTGTGCTTAGCTGAATCAAAACATGGAAATATTTGCTTCAATTTTGCCTTAAAGTGACCAATACTCTTTTGACAATCCAATATGTGTACACACACATAATATTCCTACATAAAATTTGTCTGTTTATGGCGTCACTTATCCCAAATTATAGCGATAAGTTCGGGTACACCGACTGACGAATAGCCTCTAAGGTCAGCCAGCGTACACACCCAAAAAATTTGTATTGTATGTAAAAGAAAAATAGCAGAAGTTTTTCAGATGTGTAATCTCGTAAAGGAGCATGGCACATTTCTATAATTCTGTAAAATAAGAGGAACTTTTAAAGATTCCATCTTTGCTTATGCTAACTTTTTTTTTTTTATATAGCTCGTTTGTTATTGTTTGCATTTTAGCTGTCATTGTTGATAGCAGAAAAATCTGCCGTTTTTCAGTGTTTTCAAACATAATTATTACGTAATTACGTGAGGAAATGTACGAAAATTTGCAATTCCGTAAATCCGAGATTTTTATTGATCAATTTGTCTTGTATTGGTATTCCTTTAGGTCTTCGCATGTGAATTGCTTCTATTTGCAGGCGTTTCCCCTGGAAGTATGGGCAATCCCTGCTCGCGTTTCCAAACTGAGGTAGA